TTATTCCAAAACGACCACAATTAGACTTCACAGGTGACCAGTAAGGGTGAAAAGGCACAGTTGACTTGTATTTGCACATGAGACCATCATATACATGAACCACCTCGGCCATGCCTCATTAACTGCATTTAACGATCCGCCGACTAACCTTTAAAATAAGCGTTACTAGCTGAACAGACAGTGTGGTATTGATCAGCCAGCTATTACTATACTGAACATTCACAATCCCAGTGGCTCTAAATCAGTGGTTCTCGTCCTTCCTAATGGCGCGACCCTTTAATACAGTTCCTCATGTTGTGGTGACCTCCAACCATAAAATTATTTTCGTTGCTACTTCAAAAATGTGTGTTTTCCGATGGTCTTAGGGAGACCCCTGCGTAAGGATCGTTCGACCCCCCCCCCCCCCCCGGGTCGCGACCCACAGGTTGAGAACTGCTGCTCTAAATGTACACACATTATACATACTTGAGGATAATTCTCAAGGGAGAATATTTAAAAAAAAGAATGCCTTAACATAACTTTACTAAAAATAACATATGTTTACTGAAACATACACACAGAGGAACCCCGCTATAACGCGATGATCGGGGTCCATAAAATCGAATCGCGTTAAAAGCGGGGTTGCGTTAATGTGCGGTTTTACAATATTTAACTTTTTTCCCGAGAACATATCCGTGCGTACATATACAATGATTAAACGTCGGCTTATCATCAGATGAAGAGAACATCTCCGTGTGTACATGGACAATGATCAAAAGTCGGCTTATCATCAGATGAATATTAACTGGAATGTATTAATTAAGATGTATTCAAAATAATCGATGGCTAATATATTTATAGGTTATTACTGTGCATTAAAAACATTAAAATATTTTGAAAAGTTGTGATTTTTTTTCGCTTTAAAAAATGGCTTTCCAAGCAATGGATAAAATTTTCAAAGAACTTAGGCCTGATGGAGTAAATGAATTTCAAATTTCGGGAGCCATGCTACGACCGCGTTATATCCGACTTCGCGTTACGGCGGGGCGCGTTATAGCGGGGCGCGTTATAGCGGGGTTCAAATGTATTATGTATACGATTGTCACGATTGTCACGTAACAGCTTAGCAAAATCCTCTTCTCTGCTATTGGCTTTAAAGTTGATTTGGCTCAAGATAAATAGAAATCCAAGCTCTCTAATCTGATATTTTGTTTCAAAGAGGAACATCCGTAATTTTAAATTGCACAGATAGAAAAGTTGTAACCTACATGTTTTCGCGTATGTAATTTTATTGTTTGGATGAGCGTTGTGGTGGAATATTGTGATTGTAGATTATGTCATTAAAATGTATTTGCTGAATTCGTACTCGTGTTATGTTTTGTCTAGGACATGTTATTATTGCCGATGTAGCAATCCTTAACATGGTTCTGGTTGTGTTCGTTGCTGCATCCATGTACTGGCATCTGTGCAACGGTTGGGGGTATGATGTTGCTATTCTAACAGCTCCTAGCTGATGCCAGGGAAGCCTTGAAGCTTTCGATCGATGTCGAGTTCACAGTGGCATTGTCCTAGTGGTTCCATGCTATTATTGTGCGTGGTTAACTAATACTTTGCTTACTGTAATGGATGGCCTGCCGCTATCACTCGACTAATAACTAATCTGCATCTGCCCCCCTCTCACCCAATAAATAATGATAATTTCCAATCAATGAAGTATACAGTACTTTATTATAATTTATAAACACCACAATAATAAGTCTTGCCAAGAGGACATCCTGCAATAATTCTAGGATGCAAAAGTCACATACTTATTCAATATATCATATCACAATTAAATCACAATAATTCTAGGATGCAAAAGTCACACACTTATTCGATATATCATATCACAATTAAATCACAATAGTTCTAGGATGCAATAGTCACACACTTATTCAATATATCATATCACAATTAAATCACAATAATTCTAGGATGCAAAAGTCACATACTAATTCAATATATCATATCACAATTAAATCACAATAATTCTAGGATGCAAAAGTCACACACTTATTCAATATATCATATCACAATTAAATCACAATAATTCTAGGATGCAATAGTCACACACTTATTCAATATATCATATCACAATTAAATCACAATATTTCCATAATCCATACTAGAGAAATTAAACATGTCCGCTCCCTCTCAGAACAAAATCGTGCACTCCTTATCCCTGCATAGGCGGCTAGGGAACTTCCGCTCTAGAAACTAGTTCCCTCTTTTTCTCGTGATTTACAAGTTCTAATACAATTACTACACCATCCTGATATAATAGTGTCGTGTGTAAAATCACAGCCAACTTGGTCTGTTACATTTTGTGCGAGCAATGATCTTCCTAGTGGAAGAAATAGGAAAAGGGGGGGGGGGGGTAGAAGATGAGGATATGCAAGGGAGAGTGGGCAGTAGCGTATCTAGGACAAGTGCCACCAGGGGCGAGTCATGATTTTTGCCGCCTCGTTCCACGAATAAAAATCTATGCATTTTAAAAAAAAACTGCCGTCCATCCATATAAGGAAAAAAGAGCCGCCCAAAGAGGATCGCCCCCCCCCCCCAACTCACCGCCTGAGAGAGGGAGAGAGAGAGAGAGAGAGAGAGAGAGAGAGAGAGAGATAGATAGAGAGAGAGAGAGAGAGAGAGAGAGAGAGAGAGAGAGAGAGCGAATGACAAGGAGGAAAACAACACTGGTTTCTTCAAATGAAAGTTATGACAATCCGTCACAATGGGAGGCTATAAATACAATTGAAGTAATCTACATTGAGATTGTGGTTATGCTGTAAGCAGAGATCGGACGATAGTGAGATTTTTAAGTGTAAGCCACCTTAAGTGACCTTTCACTATTGAAAGATGAAGATAAATAGTACAGAACTCGTACAACACTGGAGTGCAGCATAATATTTATAATAATGTTAGTACCCTAAGACTTAAAGCAATTTTTAACATAATATATTTGTTTAAAATTGTGTCTTATTATTATTATCTTTTTTGGTGGAAAGGGGGGGGGGGGCGCTTATTATTATAATTACACCCCATCTCGTTTTCAGCCAAATCTATCCCTGTGTTTTGCAACAGTAGTCTTTTTTTTTTTTTTACGGTTTCAGCCCAATTTTATTGCAAATGTTTAAATATTATAATAAAACAAAAGCTATTTTTATTATAAAAGAGTCGAATTTCTGAAATCGTTCAGAACTATTACTTGTTTGTTAACATTATTTCCAAGGCTCGGGTGTTATAATATATTGAAGTACAATCAGTAGCGTAAACAGGGTGGTGTGGGTGTGCTGTTTGCACCGGGTGCACATCACAGGTGGTGACGCCAAATGGAAACATACAGTTTTAACAGATTTCGCTCAAATCTTTTATAGTTAAATTCCAGAAAAGGGTGCCAACAAAACAGGGTGGCGGCTGAGCAGGTGGACCAACAAATGTATTTTGGCATCACGTTCGAAAGCACAACTAACATTTCACACATTGACCAGATCTCTAAGACATCAGTCATATAATAAATATAAACAATGGAATAGTTGAATTGAGATGATTGTTTCTAGGATTTCGTTCTTGAAAGGCGAAAACAAATAGATATTGCAATCTGGACACGTTATTTAGATGTCTTGACATCATGATGTGCCGAGCTCAAGGTTACGATAATCCTGAACAACGTCTGGAATTTATGGAGATGCACCACCCATCCCGTCGCCCCTTACCCCTCTTCTCTTCTTCTATATCTTAAGGGCCCATCTTAAGTTCTTCTAGAACTAACTGGAACAAGAAAGAACATGAACGTTAAATTGGATTGCAATGTGACTGTGTCGGCAACCCCCTGAACGCGTGTGGTCAGAACTCTTGCTGAAAATGCGCCTTTTCCATGTGCTACATGCTTTAGATATATTTAGAATATTTAAATAATTTATGGCTCCTTATTCCCTAATCGATTGTTTATTTTAATTGAACACACAAGAGCCACCCAGGTCGGACCGCACCGCCTTCCTCAGCCAGTGCTTCAACCTGCAGTTACATGTAAATTATTTTGATGATTTTGGCGTGATGCTTTGTTTGCCCATGCCTGGTAATCTTGTAACAGGGACATACTGAGCAGGCCAAATGGGAGGGGGGATTGAGGGGTGAGTGTGACGCCAGGAGTTTACAGCACTGGGGGACAACAACTCTAGCAGTACAAAGTGCAAGTTTAAAAAAAAAAAAGACAAAAAAAAAAGAAAAGACAAACCACATGACTGACTGTCATGTGCTACCTTTTCTTTAATTCCCCCTTTTTAATATAAGGGAAATAACCAGCATTAAATGCTAAAACTCACTTTTATTTTTTGACATGCCAGATTTTGATATTCATATTTATGGGATACAAAAAATATAGTACTACGCCAACTTAAGTCCTTTTTAATTTTTAAAAGTCATACAAATCATGTAATTACAATTATTAAACGAGCGTTTTAGTTAAAATACATCGTCTTAAATTAAATTTATTTTACCTTGGTGCTTTAGTCAAAAAAAAAAAAAAAAAAAAAAAAATTTATGTTTTTAAAAAAAAAAGGGGGGGGGGGGGGGGGGGGGGGGAGCCAAAAAGAAAAAAAAAACAACAACATTAGGCTAATTTTTTATTTTAAATTTGATCACTGAATAGCGTTTTGTTTTTATAATCATATTTCAATAAATAAACAATACATTAAATAATTCATCCGTTTGTCTTAATTAAAAAAACAGCTCTAAATAGCTTGTAATTGTTAAAGTAAAGCCTGAAAACACATATTCTGAAACGCACTAATAGTGAAAAGTATATTAATTTCTCATACCTAGACCCTGTTCAATGTTCGAAATAAATAGCAGTTGTACATACAGAAAAATGTATTTATAATAGCCACACCATTTTTATATAAAAATAATTGATATAAAATTATTATTTTTTAATTTAAAAAAAAAAAAATAATATAACACCAAAGAAACCTGGTATATATTTTTGCATACTGGTTTGGTCTATTGGCACTGTTATTATTTACTTAGTGCCTAGTGTTTGAGTTAGTGTTTACATGTTTAAAGAAGACGTAGGACGCTTTGTGTTAGTGTTTACTAACTGCTAAGTCACATGCTGTGTTTAATCATTTATTTTATTTCATATAATATAGGCCCATTTGAGTGGATTAAAAATGAGCCTTTTTCAAAAAGTAAGTTTTCATTATTCATACTCAAACTAATCAACTTCGACTTCTATCAGTACTCACTAAGAGTAGGCAGTAGGCTTCAGCACTAGGCAGACCTAAGCAACAGCCTAACTAAACTAACTTATACTAACTATAATTTATATTCTTAAACTTTATGATTATTAAAGTCATTCTGAATTTAAGCCTAGCCTAGACTAAAACTAAAAGCCTAAGAATGAGTAATTAGGTAGGCCTTAGGCCTACTAAGTTATCATTTATTTTCAATAATTTATCCCATCTTAATCAAAGTTAAGTTATATTTATATCTTATGTCTTATGTTTAATAAGTGTTGTATAAGTATTACTAAGAATTCTGACTTGATTTTGGTCTTGTCTTGTTGAGAACGTAATCAATACTATGCCTATGCTGATGACACTATTTAATTTATCAATTTATTGATCATTTTGGCTCCTATGCATCTAGAGGGGATTTGCAATGTTTCTGTTCCTGGTGTTGATGAGGAAATTTCACTGAATTTCCAGTGCCACTTTGTGAGGGAATCATGCACTAGGGGTTTAAGGCTTGAGGCAATAGACACAAATGTGTCTAGTGTTGTCGCCTCAACTGTTCCTTTTGAAAGCTTGTTCCAGTCCCTGATTGTCTTGGGCAGGAATGAGCAGCTCCTATACTGGCTTCTTGCTGGTATGAGCATGAATTGCCTGTCATGGCCTCGTGGCTGTCTATGAGGGAGAGGGACGAGTTTCTGTTTAATACTGGAACAGTGGACCAGCCCATTATTTATCTTGTACATCATGGAGAGCCTGGATTGTCGTCGTTGTTCCTCCAATGGTGACCTCCAGCATGCTGCCAACACTAGAGGTATTCCTGTAGCGGTTTAGGACAAAGCGTATGATGATTATGATGTCAATTAAGCCAATGATTGAGGAGTGTAGCCTAGAACTTACTACAAAAAATGATGTTAGGGGCCATCCATAAATGAAAATGACGTCACGCGTCTAGGGGGGGAGGGGGGCAGATTTTTGTGACGAGGGGGGGGGGGGCTCAAGCAATGTGACGTCACATGAAAAGCGGAATAATGTAGTAAAGAATTTCACTTCATAACCCTAAATTACAGAATCTTTAACATTATTCTTTTATACAACAATTATAATTATTTTATTTTTAAACTACTATCACTGAGAAAATCAGTACAGGTATGCGAGGTCCGAAAAATGACCTCTGATCAAGTTACAGAATGCCATGGTGGAGGAGAATTGGGATGTAGTTACAATGACAGTACTGAGAATTTATGGCTAAATGTGGACACGGCACGGGAGTCATAGAATTTGGTCTATCATGTGAAGGGGGGGGAAAAAAAAAAAAAAAGGGTGGTGGGGGGGGGGGGGGTTATCTTATTAAATACTCCAGGGCAGGGATTCTTCTTCTTTATTTTGAGGGCCCACGATCAATCAATTGATCATTCTGGCTCCTATGTTTCTTAAGCTTTGCAGCGCTGAAGGCCCACTCCGTTTTAAACATCACTTCGGCCCCAACCGTATAAATTATATTGTAATAAAATTAAAACAAATGAAATACATAAGTTATCGTAGTTTTATTTCTTTTATTCATTTTTTATAAACAAGGGCAAAATTTACGAATACAAGCAATGCGCCAATAAAATTCACCAGAAAAACATTTACTACTGCTAATCAAAATGCATAAAAACTCATTTTTTATTTTACATAAGAGCAGCAACAACTAGCAATGGCAGCAAGTACAATCAGTGGCGTAGCTAGGGTTGGTGTCACCCGGTATGGAAAGCTCGTGGTGTTGTCCCGTCCCCCCCCCCCCATTCTACGATGGAATTCTTCTTGTTAAACTTAGTCCACGGTATAACAAATACAAAAACAAACAAAACTTTATTTAAGGTCATGATAAATTCACCAGAAAAACATTTACTACTGCTAAACAAAATTCATAAAAACTCATTTTTTATTTTACATAAGAGCAGCCACAACTAGCAATGGCAGCAAGTACAATCAGTGGCGTAGCTAGGGTTGGTGTCACCCGGTATGGAAAGCTCGTGGTGTTGTCCCGTCCCCCCCCCCCCATTCTACGATGTAATTCTTCTTGTTAAACTTAGTCCACGGTATAACAAATACAAGAACAAACAAAAATTTATTTAAGGTCAGGAGGTAAATGTATTTAAGAACTGTGACATGTACTTAGTATCGCCCACTGTTATCAAAAGATAGCTTTAATTCTCAGAATTTAGATAAATATAGCTTCCTGTCACTTACAAAAGTTACTGAACACTTCATTCGGCGTTGAATCATGGTCAAAACGGTGTGTTTCTGACCTAAAATAAGGTAACCTAATTGCTGACGCACCAACCTTCAAATTTTAATAAAACACGCATTTCGATTGGTTACTTGGGTGGAAAATGTACATGTCATCTGTTATCCTTTTATGAATTTCTGTTGGACCGAGTAGTGTGTGCTCAGTAAATAAGCAAATTTTCAATTTGGTGTCACCCCCAGAGATTGTGTCACCCGGTGCGGTCCACACCCCCTACCTACTGAATACAATTTTCTGGTCTATCACACCTCAGAGCTGGGGAGGTACTTTTACCTCTGGTTAAGAACCACTGCTCTACTGAAATGTTTATGACACAGGTGCATGATTTGATATCCATGGGAGGTGACTTTCTTAAGCATTTGTAAAGGACAGTAGTGGAAACAGGGACTTTTTATGGGGGAGGTAAATTTGTGATGTTATATTTGAGGGGGGTCTAACTTTTTATGAAAATTTGTGACAATTGGGGGAGGGGGGGTCAAAATTCGACAAAATTTACGTGACATCATTTATGGATGGCCCCTTATGCAAGACAATTTACAATATATTTATTTTATTATTAGTCGTCTTATATAGCGCGGTATCCCAGCTGGGTCACGGCGCTGTACATAAAGATTTTAGCAAAAGAAACAATCGTGACATTAAAATAACATACATTTATGTAATAAAGAACAGCTGTATCACAACAAAACAAAAACAAATGTTGTGACCAACCACTTTGTCAAGAGTAAAGATTAACTTCCTCAAGTAGATAAATGTGAAATCGCAGAAAGCATGTAAAAGACCTTGTGCTGTAGTCCATATTGGTCTTATTTTAAATGCCTTTTCAAAAGCATGTTCCACCAAGTGACAGCGCTTTTGCACGAGAAGCTCTGTCACTTGGTGGAACATGCTTTGGAAAAGGCATTTAAAATCAGACCAATATGGAATTTTGGTAAAGAGAAGATTAAGGTTTAAGAAGAGAATTGCAGGAGAACAATTAAATTAATGCTGTACTCTCTCTATGAAAAGAAAATGGTAGGCAGATGCTGGAGTGTATTGATCACTTTCATTCTGGACCCCAGATAGATCATCAGCGATCAAGGAAGTTGCAGATATGTTAAAGGATGTTCAACTCAAGACTCTTCTTACTATCAGCAAGTGTGGAAGAGTTATTGGTGTTTGTTCCAAAATTAACCTATTTCTATGATGTGTTATCAAAAGATTAACTTTTAAAAGAAATACCAAGACTTAGAAAACACCTAATAACAGCTGATACAGAATTTTACAAAGTCATGGACTTGTCAGTATTGGATGTTTTGAAATTCATTGCTGAATGGGATTTCCTAATACTAATACTCTCGCTAAGTCTTCAATTGTTTCTATACGATCTGTGTGTCTGTGGCTTTATGTGAGCAGAGCTTTTCAAAACTAAGGCTTATCAAGAACTATTTAGGATCCACCATGGGACAGTCAAGGCTTTCTGATCTGGCTCTACTATCAATTGAAAGTGATACCGTGAAGGATATTGATTTTGATCAAGTGATTGACAGGTTTACAGCTTTGAAGACCAGGAAAGGAAAAATTTAAATTAAAAAGTTAAATATAAAAATAACTATAACTTAATGTTGTTACTGTTTTTGTTCTTGTCAATGTTACACTGTGTACTTATTTTAACAAGAAGAAATCCCTTGTGGAAAGGTGGGGGGGGGGGAGAGTGTGTGTGTGTTGACACCAGGAGTTTGAGTTTATGCACCAGATGACACCAAGCCTAGCTATGCCACTGATCAAAGCAAAAAAAAAAGGGAGACAAATGGTGGTGGCTAAAAATAAGCTTACACATGTGTCATAACAATCTTCATTAGCTAAGTTTGTCTGTCAGTGTATTTTTGCTGTTGAGGCTTCTTTAGACCTGTTTACTCTTACGACTTAGGCATACAATGCACGATTTTGAAATGTACACATTATATATAATGCACTTTTTTTTTCTATAAAGAGAATGTATTGAATGATTATAGGATGATATTGATTTTAAGAGTATGAGGGTAAACAGGTATGCCTCTTAGCCAAAACATCTGCTCTATACCCTTTTTACTAGGTTACGCTGTCTGTTTGTTAGTTTGTGTGTGGTCAAATCTTGCATCTGAATTTTGAACCAGTTCCTGATCTCCAATTGCCATGAAAATTTGTAGACTTTCCCACCCCCAATGACCATACAACCCTTCATGATCACTAGGTCACCAGTGACCTTTACGGATATCTTAGGATTGGAAAGTGATAGGAACATAGGATTTTCACTACAGCCTTCCCTTTTGCATGGTTACTTATTCCTGATAATAATCAACAACAACTAAATTTCATATTTCAAGTTCAAAATATTATTACTAAGCAAAGTATATTGTGCAAAAATAATTGCCACTGAGAAAGCCTACATTTTTGTTACATTTAAATTTCAGACGATTCTTACGATCTGACGAATATGCATGCTTCTTATAACTCTCTCTAATGTTAGGTTAAATATCATACAAGACAGTGAGTCTCCTTGTCTTCGGCCTAGTCTAATCTTAAATTGCATTGAATATTCACTCTGAACCTTCATTTTGCTTTTTTGAGTTGTTTAATGTTATATTAATCAGTCTTTTCAGTTTATTGGGTATGCCAAACTCCTGGACATTCTCATATAGATATTTCCTTTGTTTGATGCTGTAAAAGGCCATTTTATTGGCCACATACAGTTGTCGCACTGGGATATGATATTTGGAACATTTATCAAAAAGGCATCTGATGGGGAAAATATGATCAGTTTTTGATCTGTTTTGTCTGAATCCACCTTGGTAGTTACCTAGTATTTGTTCAGTGTGTGTATGTAGTCTCTTGGCAATTAGTTTTGACAGTATTGGGTATGTTACAATTAATATGGAAATTCCTCTGTAGTTAGTGCATTGAAGTTTGGACTCACTCTTGTGTATTGGGCTTATTAGTGCTGTTTCCCATTCTGTTACTGTTGGAGTTTTCTCTCTTTATCAGATTTTAGTTATAAGTTTGTGTATCTGAGAGTGTAGTTCTCTCCCTCCATATTTAATAAGTTCTGCTGTTATGAGGTCTTCTCCTGGGGCTTTGTGGTTTTTCATAGATTTCATTACCTCTGTAGTTTCAACCAAAGTTGGGGTTTTTAGTTGGAGGTCTGGTCCTCCAAAAGGTGGTTCATAATCTTTACCTTGTCATTTTCTGAATTTAACATTTCCTCAAAATATTGGGCAAAACCTCTCCAGTGCTTTATCATATCCATTAATTAATTCTCCATCTTTGCTATTACACATTTGAGGTCTGGCGTGGTATGTACAGTACACATGATTGAAAGTTTAATTTTTAAGCCTATGGCATAGAAATGCAGAGTCATTTTTTGTTGTCTTTTTGTGTATGTGAACTGGAGATAACAGGTTGTAAAACCCTTATTATTATCACCCACTTATTTTTACCAATAACTAACGGGTAAAAACATATTATGGATAGGATAGTTTAAAAACATATAAATTTGTTGCAAAGGCTTTTGTTTAAACTCATTTTGAAAACTAATCACTTGAAAATTCAATTTAGGACCCATACATAAGATTTGCCTGCTGTGTTACTCGTATCTGACATTTTAATGAGTAACTGTATATAAATTAAAAATAGGCCAATAGAAAGTAAAAAATATGTGCATAAATTTCACTTGTTTTCAGGCTTATGCATTTACATTTATGCAAATTGATCTTAGCTTAGCGGCCTTGAGCAGGTTATAGCTGTAAATACCTGAAAACTTAATACTTCAAAGATATTTTAATTCAAAATTTTATGTAAGCGCTCTGTCTTGAGTTTAGAACAGTTTGAAAAAAACTCTGTATTGAAAGAAAAATAGTCTTAGTAATTTCAGTGTGAATATCTAGATTTTATCCAGGGAAGTAAAAATAATAAATAGGAGCCCTAAATAATGATGGCTAGAGTCTGACAGACACAAGGGCAATCAAGGTATAAATTAGTTGGTGTCCTATAAAAAAAAAATTTCAATGTTTCATAATGTGTTCTTTAAAATTAAATGAATTTTTTGAATTTTGTTCACTATTTTGTATCTTTGCAGTTGAAAAACATGGCAGGACTGAATAAGCACCAGGGAGAAAATTCCAGACTTCTTGCTTCCAACAGAAATGGGACCCAGCAACATGGTTGTGGTAGCTTTAATGGCACAACCAATCCTGCAAATTCAGAAGGTTATGAGGAGCTTTTTAAAGACAGTGTGCCCTGCCCATCATGCAGAGGATTAGGCAGAGTGCCTAAAGGTTCTGAGTATCTATAGTTTATTTTTAATTGTGAACAAATTAAGATACCTTGTAACGATTTGTCCATCAAAATTTTTTCTGCATCTGTTTTTTTAATTAACATTTTTGTGTGTTTTGTTTTATAACTAACCTCTTGTTCTATCCCAGAATTAGCTGAAGTTTATAATTTCTTTCACTATCTCCTGTAATGATTGTATTGGTTAACCCAGTAATTCTCAAGCTGGCTTGCAGGTGCACTAAAAAATTATTTATTTTTTCAATTTAATATACAGTGGTACCTCGAGATATCCGAGTTTAATTCGTTCCGTAAAGTTGCTCGTAAGTCAATTTGCTCGTATCTCAAAGCAATTTTCCCCATTGAAATAAATAGAAATGCCATTAATCTGTTCCAGCCCCCAAAATCCCACCTCAGTTGTTTTTGTTACATGTTTTTGAATAAGAAAAATATATTTATAGATGACAAATATTGTATAAAACATAATAAAAGAGAATGAAAAGAAAAAAACTGGTTTTTATAAAGTGTATTTACCTTTGAAATCAGCCGACTTGAGCTTACGGAAGATGCTGGCGGAGGTGTGGGGTGGAGGAGATAGGCGAAGGAGCTTCACTTCGTTCACTTACTGGCCACACTGTTAACGCTAAACTCTTTCGGTCACTTAAATTCACTTACTCGTTACACTCTTAATGCTACACTTTATCCATAAACTTATTGGAACTTAAACAAACTTCACTGAAATTAATTGAACTTAAATGCCACTGTAAAATTTTTTGTTACTTAATTTTTATCACTGCAGCCGGCCGGCCCGCTGTTTGATACTTCTATATTCTGCTAGTAAGGCACCGTGAAAAAATCCTGATATACAAAGATTGTTATAGGTTTTGACTACATATTAAATGTGCTGTGTTTCTGTGTGACATTAGTGATCCCCCCTCTTTTAAGTACTTAGAAAGAAAAGAAGGTATCTAATTACCAGGTAAATGGCAGATCCCCTTATTATTGCAATAACCATATTCATCTCTCATGGCATATTATAATGTATTGACAAAAAACTGCAATCATAAATTAAATATTGGTATCCTTTGCTATAACAAAACTCAATAAACAATAGTCAATAGCTAAAAATTTATTACCTTTATTAATGTTTTAAAACTTAACTAAGATTTATAAGAAAATTTAAATCTATTTTTTATTATACTCTGATGTGTCTTGCTTCAGTTTTTTAGACTCATTTTTCAATTCATTTGTTTTTTTACAGAACTTGAGAATCAACTTGTAGCATTAATACCCATGGGTGATGGGAGACTGAAACCCAGAAGAACGTGAGTATTGCTAAAACGTAGTCTACATCTTTACAATTGGTTTAATTATAAGAAATAATTTGATTTTGACTCTTTCTATCCCATGAAAATTTTACAAAGTTGAGCTATTTATTATTTATTTTTTTGTGTGGAGAATTTTATTTACTTGTACCCAAAAATTGTAATCAGTAATACAAATAATTTTTAACTAGCAAAAAAAAAGACCCTGTCATCACATTTTAACTAAAAAGGAAGCAAATGCCATCTTTATAAAAAAATTACATGCCTTTTAACTAAACTTAGAATCAAGTTGTCAATCCATACTATGTGTTCAAGATCCAAGCTACATTTAAGCAATAGTGAAATAAGAAATATTCGGTAGGAAGGCTAAAAAGTCTGCCACTCTTCAACTTACAAATTTATAAGTATGCCACATTTCAATTAATAAATACATAAGCTTGTCACTCTTAAGCTTATAAATTCATAAGTTTTTCACACAATTTAACTTATTATTCTTAAGTTTTACTATTTATTTTTGAACATTTCTTCCTGTATTTTATACAAGCACCAAAGAAAATCAGTACTCTCTGTCGTTTCATTTTTAGGATTCTTTATGTGGTCATTGCTGTAACTCTATGTGTTGTTACTGGTGGGATGCTAATTTTTTTCCTAATGCCAAGAGACATCACCATCTCCAGTAATAGACCATTTCTTCAGCCAAAGCACATAGACATTAATGTCACAGCCAAGTTTGCTAATTTTACTGTTACTGTGAGTATGTTTCTTAGTAAATATTGATAGTGTGAGGCTTTGTTTTTAATTGGACAAAGCTGAGCAGGCTGTTTTAATAATATGTTTAGCACATTTTGATTTTAAATAAAAAGGATATAGGGTAGAGAGAAATTTTGTAGCTGTACCTAAAATCTGCTCATGTTTTGTTTTGTTTTAAAATATTAACCAATTGACCCTTTAAAAAAAACATGTAAAGGATAATTTTTCTCATCCCCTCAAATAAGTAGTGATGTAGTGCTTACATAACCCCAAATAGTTACATTAAATTTACTATAGCAGTTTTGTATTTTTGGACATTGTATTTGATCTAACTTTAAAATCAATGTCAGGGGCTAGCATTTTTTAAACTTTGTTGTTTTGATGTTTTTTTCAGTCTGTGAAATTCAATATGACTAACCAATGCAACATTCTATCATTTCTACCACAGAACCTTTACAATGTGTCAAATAACAACTTTTATCCTGTGAAGATATCTGGTGTCTCCATGAAGTCTCTCTATGGCAATGCTGTTATAGCTCAGTCTTCTGCATATAAAACAGATCCACTGGAGATATCAGCCAGATCTGAGAATCTGTTGTCTGTTCCCATGGATTTTATACTTAGTGGGGAACATGGCAGTCTTGTGTATGTATTGTGGCTGTGCTTGGGGGTATTGTGTCTGATTTACTCTTATTTCATTAAGCCTCAGTAGTCCTGAAGGGAGATATTTAAATTTCTTTATTTATTTTACTATCTCTTTTTACGCCTTAAAAATGAGAGCCAAATAAGTGTGATTCTAGTCTTATTTTTCTATGTCTCTTATTAATCTTTATTGCAGTTCAACCCCCTTCAAATAAGTTATTTTTTTTAAGAAACCATGGATTTTTTTTCTAAAAAAGAATGGAAACAAATGCTTAAGTTTCTGAGAGAAAAAAAGAACTAAATTTTAACTGAAGAGTTTATCCATAGTGTATTTTATAAAATATGTTTTAACAAAGTTAATACTTTTATTTTATTTTAGGTCTCATTGTATAAGCAACTGGTCATGGATTCATAACCTTCCTATACTCTTTGAGTAAGTTGTATGAATGATTATAGTTAAGATATTATCATCTTTGTTGTATTGGATTCCATTTGAAATTTGATGAATGCATTGCGAAAGCCACAGAAGCCATTCATAATAGAATTTTTTTTTACGTTTTCAGAGTAACTGCCAACTACACCTATATGGGTCACTCAGAGCAAGCAACCCTGACGACATTCCAGACAGTCAGCTGCCATCCAGAGCCAGGCCCACCTGCACCTACGCTGCAACCACCGACTACCACTTCAACAACCCCTGCACCATTAACTACCACTGTACCAACAACTACCCCTGAACTGACAACATCTACTACTACAACAACAACGTCTACTTCAACAACTTCTACATATTCAACAAGTGTCCCAAAAGCTACATGAAATTTGAACAAACTTCACACCTTGACTAATAATACATTACATAAAGCATAATTTAATAGTTACCCGGTATTCCATGGAATCTATGAGATTAATATTAGAAATTGGTCAGTATTTACAGAAAATGCCGGATCTGTTCAGACATTGATGAATAAATTTGGTATAAATTCATTTTGAATGAAACAGTGTGGATGTCGGTATGGTAAGGTCTTGTAATATTGTTTCATTGTCATTACTAATGTCTTTCATGTGATTTACACTGAAATTTGTTTACTTGCTGTGCATGGAATCAGACTTTACACTTTATCTATTGCGACAGGTATTTTGAAATGAAAAATTGTAGCTGGTTCTTGCTAGTCGAAATTACTAGCGGTGTTTATTTAGATCCTTATGGGGCATGTGGTCTTGAAAAATTCTAGCTTCCATTCTAATGTTGCAGTGGTCTTACAGGATTCTGATCCATTGACCAGGGTCCTCATAACTTTTTATTCAGGGGACATGTTTATTGTCTCTAAGACACTTTTGGGGATGGACTTCAGTTTGAAAATATGAAAGAATTCCTATGCACATTACGCATATCATATTTGTAGTGCAAAAAATAATATGAAAATACATCATTTAAAATCAAGAAGTATGGGCCTGCTTTAGGCTAAGGAGATGGTCAATGTCTGTTAACATATTTGTTACTGGTAACCGTACAGTAGCCAGGCAGGCTGGGTTGAGGACCTCTGGTAGGCCGGATCTGGCCTCAGGCCATAATTTGAGAACCTCCTGCTCAAGACTTTACTTAAAAAACATATTGTCTTAATGTCAACATTCAGATTGCTTAATCTCCCTTTGTTGTATATTGGGGAAAATTAAGAATACCTGGTAATGAAGAGTGAAGCAGCTATTCTCAAATATTCCCATCTGCTCTGTAACAGTAAGAGCAGTATTAAATCAGTCTTCATACTCAGCAAGTTAATCTGTTCATTTCATGTGTATAAATGAAATAATATATATTTATATGTGCTCTTTTATTGTACTTTCTCATACATGCCAACCTCTACGAGTCATAACCTTGTGCAAAGACCTTTTAGACAAAAATCAAAAGCTTAAATAATTACAATTAATTACTTTATTAGTATTTTTAATCAGTTCTCTTTGTATCTGTGTTTGCATACATCCAATCTTTGGTGGAGCTTTTCTGATGTATGGAATTGTTTTGATGCCAAACAAGTGTCTGTGTTAAATTTTACACAAAAAAAAATCTGACTATGTCAACATTGATTTTAGTATTTACTCTGTTTGTATTTAACTGTAGGATCGATAATGATATCTGGCAGTCAGTCTTGCTGAGGTCAAATCACTTTCATGTCTCTGTGCTGACTTTTGAAGTCTTGTTAATTCCTAGGAATTCTGTCATGAGGAACTTCTGATCCTGGTTGACTGAATCTAATATTTATTTTGAAAATTAGTTTGACCATTTAAATGAGAGCTCTCCAGCTGGAAATAGAAATAAGAATTTTAAAAAAAATGGTGTTTAAAATCCCATACTGATGTCAACCATAATAATTTATACAATGGCGCAAATAAAATAAAATAAAATATAGATGATCAAACATGCCTAGTTAAAGGACATAGTATTTAAATTTTATGAAGCTGTAATTAGCTTACAATAATGCTAGTGTTAACAGAATAAATATACTTAAAATATTTAATAGAAATTTAAAAAGATTACTGTATTTGTTCTATGATTCCCAAAAAAGCCATATACCGGTACATAGATAACACCTAGTGGCCATTAATGCTTAAACCAATTGACTTTTTTTGAGGCCCCCATTGCTTATCCTGCACGCAGTCAGGTCATTATATAAAATGGATGCTGTGAAGGGAAAAGTAATTATTTAAACTTAAATTCATTAAAATTCAACTTTTTGCATTAAAGTAATCAAAAATTAATTTCGGTCATGACTTTTCAGCTAATATTAGTGTTAATGCATCAACAATGACAGTAAATATTTAAGCCTCATATTTGTGTTAATTTGAACACTTTGAACATGACACCTTGGCCATGCTAAAATCCCCTGTAAGAAGGGACAAAGGTCTCTTTGAATTGAACAGTAGGCTCTTGGCTTTCTTTTGACCAATAATAAAGTACCTTTAAAATGTAAATAAAGGTTTTACACCACCATTTTGAATATGTGCAATTTTTTTAATCATTTTGTTAAATACCATGGAAAACCAGGTACAAAATATACTCATTGGACAGTGCAGAAACCATATCACTTGGCATGTATGATTTTCTTTCATTGAAATTAATAATATTTTATAATATGTATTATTATTTTAAAATTCATTTCTTTGAATGTGTTGAATTATTTCACTCAATTTTTTTTTTTTTTTTGCAACTTAATTTTAGCGTAATATATATTTTTTTTTTTTTTTTTTTTAACTTAATGGGTCTTTTTTTATATAAATTATATTTATTACTTGGTATTTATTATTTTCTTTTATTTAAATTAATAATATTTTATAATATGTATTATTATTTTAAAATTCATTTCTTTGAATGTGTTGAATTATTTCACTCAATTTTTTTTTTTTTTTTTGCAACTTAATGTTAGCGTAATATATATCTTTTATATTCTTATTTTTAACATAAGGGGTCTATTTTTATAAAAATGAAATACCCACTGGTAACTGCCATATATAAATATGTGTAGATGGATACCTTTACTAATTAGTGAGTTCTCACTGCATTAATGAACTTCACAATTTTTTTTTTACTCTGTCTAAAACCGTGATAGAATGTTAAAAAAAGAGTAACATTTTTTTTAAAATCCAAATTTTAATAAACTTTTGTTATTTTGACTCTCTTCAAAAAAGTGCAACTCAGACTCACAAATATTTTACCATCCTGTTATGTCCCTTTTCAGCTGCAAGGATTGAATGTCTTTGCTTGAACCATTTGATAATTGATTTTTTTTCTTATGCTCTTGCAACATATTTTTTATGGAATTGAAAAGCCATAAAAAAATGATTACTCAATATGTGTACCTTCAATGGGTTCAAAATTTCTGTCATTTTTCTTAAGTGCAACATTTTAAAGACCTCAAATTACTCATCCTACTATATCATCTTCTTTTATGGAGCTGGTTTCATTTGAACTGATTAATTTGTTCTAATTATGGTGGCTCCTATTGTTGCACAGTTTTATATGGATCAATTAAAAAGAAATCTCATTACTCTCAAGTTTCACTTATGTTTAAAATACGTTGGTTTACAATGTTATCCCTGTAGTTTCACTTATGCCAAATATTATTTATCATAAATAACAATTATTTATATAGGATTTCGTTAGTCTTGTAGCTCAAACCTTAATGGTCATATGAGATTATCTCAAATGTTATTATGTGTTTGATATAAGTTTGATACCTGAAAACCAGAATAGTGTCCTTTTAGTAATAATAGAAACAGATAACATATTTTAATTTGACTGAGTGTCAAAAATATATGTAGGTAGATTTTAGCACATGAGATGTATGCTTTAATAAAAGATGTGTTATCTATGAGATTTTATTTTTAAGTAAACAACGAAATTGCATCAAGAAATGACAACAATGCTAATGGTTATAAACAAACAGTATAATCTTATGACAAGTAATTGTTTATTCCAAATTTTAAATTACTTAGCTTGTTTATATTAAATGCCATGGCTAGAAGCATTATTGTGAAACAGTTTTGGTACAGAAATTTAGTTTCATTGAAACTGGCTTCTGCTCGAATTGTTATAAGCTCTGAGGTATTGTTAGAACTCTATTTTGTGTTATTTTTTTTTTTTATTGGCTTTGTTTAAAATCCTATTTCAAAGTAAAAGATTAGAGAGAAATTTCAGAACCATGATATATCTTGTTTTCTTATGACCAGTCTTGCAAAAACGTTTCAGTCATACCAGTCCTTGTGTCCCTATGCCCATTGCCAATTAACATCTTAAGGTACTAAAGTTGACATGGAGTCACTAATATGAGGGAAAAGAGGTCTCATAAACTTGACAGCACATATCGTCCTACTATTACCGAGTACCATAGCCATGTTAAAACCTAGCTTTACAGAATGGAAGATGAAGCACCTTGAGGGTGCGATGAAGCACCTTGAGGGTGCGATGAAGCACCTTGAGGGTGCGATGAAGCACCTTGAGGGTGCGATGAAGCACCTTGAGGGTGCTTATCTTTCAGTTTGAGTATTTTCACATTTTTTCAGTAAAAATTCAGATCATGGTGGCTGGGGTTTATTAGATTTATTTTCAATTACTTGCAAATGATTTTAAAACTGCTTTAGATTTCACCTTAATGCAAATCTGTAAATAAATAGATTTTTCTCATTTGTCTTGTGTTATTTTATTTGTTTCTTCATGTGATTTCATGAAGAATTTTGTTAATACACTATATTAATGCATTTAATTCAACCTACCCATGAATCTATTATTTTCTGAACAAATATTTATATGAAAATGTTAAAAGTATTTTGTCATGTCAAGAATAATTTTTTGAAATGGTGTTAGTTTACAGGAAATATTTGATTGAAGTATGAATAAAATGTTCTATTCTCCTTTAAAGAGTATGTGTGTTGTTTTTTTGTTTTAAGAAATGCCTTTAAGTTTATTTAAAGACCAGTACTGGTACATACAACTTAATTATTTTTTTTTTTAAGCTCATAATATAATGATTAAAGCACATAATTGTCATAATAAAATATGTTAATGGCAAAATTACATAATTGAGATTGTCTTAATAAAAGTAATGGTAAAAGTAAAAGCAAATAATGTCCATTTATTTCAACTTTTTAAAGTATTTTAAGACAATTTAAAGGGGAATAATTCTTCCTGGACGATTGGGCAAATTTATTTCTCTCAACATTTTCCTTATTAAAAGCTTAACTGATCCTTGATTTGCTAAGTAGGAAAAAGATTCCGTTCGATAGTTTTTAAATTAAAAAAATGTGTGGCAAGGCGTTAACTTTATTATATCCTAGTTCCTATTTTCCAGTTATTTCTCTTTAAAAACGTCCATTCTCGTGACGTAGCTTAACCACAACATCGTTTTTAAAAAAAAAAATAAAATTGCAGTATTTTTTAAAATCTTGATTCTTTAGTTGACTTGTTTCATGCTGCCCATTGACTTACATCTCCCTGAGTGGTACTAGTTAGCCTTGTTACTCATTAGCCTAGTGACCTATTATCGGGGGGGGGGGGGGAAATGCCTTTTTTTGAAACCCCCCGCCCACTTCTTT